GGACTAGAGGGAATGGCCTTGAGCTGAGACAGGGCAGAGTCAGATTGGATGTAAGGAGAAATGTTTTCCCTGTGAGGGTGTTCAGGCACTGGAATATTGCCCAGGGAGGTGGTGGAGTCACCATCCCTGGAGGTGTTTAAGAGGTGTCTGGATCTGGCACTAGAGAATATGGTTTAGGGGTTCCAGCAGTGACAGGTTAATGGTTGGACTTGATGGTCTTAGAGGTCTCCTCCAACCCTGATGATCCTATGATTCTATGATACACTTACAGGACACAGCTCACCATGCACTCATTAAACTGCAGAATCACAAGCTCTCCTCACACAAGGCTCTACTGTCTCTGGGTCTGCCTGGAATGGGGAGAAGAATGTTTCTCAGAGTAGAAAAAGGGGGGAAATAGCCTCAGGGCCTGGGTTTAGGAGAGATGAGATTATCACTGCAAAATGAAAAGTACATTAAAACCCAACACATTTTCCTGTCAGCCCCAACCAGACAGATCCTAAATTGCAGGCAAACACTTCTTGCCCCCCTGTACAGCAGGTAACTCAGAAAATGTTTTGAGGTGTTTTAAGGCAGAGCTGTATCCAGAATTCCCAATAGCTCTCACTAAAAGCTAATCTCATATTACTTATTATTTGAAATATGGTATTTTATGGATCACAACTCCAGTAAAAGCGCGTTCCTTCACAAGCTAGGAGAGGCAGATTGCTGCTTTGCCACAGCAGTGGGGCTACAAATCGCTCATAAGCATCACCATGTGAAACTGAAATTTAACAGGTCTGAAAGACAGATGTGACTGAATGATCTAACTGAGGCTTGCAAAAAAAAAAAAAAAGCCAATAAGGCGACATGATAAAGGTGTCAGAATACACTGAATGAGGACTTAGCCAGAACGAAATGCTTCTGGATGCACACTTTAAAAAATGGCTTTGCAAATGAAAGTGCCAGGACAAGGGGTCTAGTGTTCCATGTGTAACGAATTCCACTCAATCACCAAAATTTGACTGGGTCTGTACAAACTTTGAGGGCAGAAAAGAATTTCAGCCTTTGCCCTGTGGTCAGGTTAACAGTACTTTACACACTGCCATTTTGAGCCATATTTGGAGGGATATTGAAGTGCTGGAGCAGGTCCAGAGAAGAGCAAAGAGGCTGGTGAAAGGACTCGAGCACAAGTGCTATGAGGAGAGGCTGAGGGAGCTGGGGTTGTTCAGCCTGGAGAAGAGGAGGCTCAGGGGAGACCTTCTCACCCTCTACAACTCCCTGACAGGAGGTTGGAGTCAGGTGGGGGTTGGTCTCTTCTCCCAGGCAACCAGCAGGAGGACAAGAGGGCACAGACTCAAACTCTGCCAGGGGAGGTTTAGGTTCAATATTAGGAAGAGATTTTTTCTGGAGAGAGTGATCAGGCATTGGAATGGGCTGCCCAGGGAGGTGGTGGATTCACCATCCCTGGAGGTTTTTAAGGTGACACTGGTTGTGGCACTTAGCACCATGATCTAGTAACCACACTAGGGTTGGACTTGATCTGGAGGTCTTTTCCAACCTGGTTGATTCTATGATTTTATGATTTACTTCTTTTTTTCACAGTCCAATTCAGAAAACATCAAGTAAGAGAGAGACAAATTCTCAGCCTCATGAACCACCAGTTACTTGCTTATTTCTCCAAATAATGCTTCTCAGGTGACATTTGCAGGATAATAGAAGTTCAGTTTATTGTGAGATTCCCTCCCCTCATGCTTTCTGTTATGTGGTCAGTACAACATTTTGCCAGAACAGCCTCAGGCACTAAGTGCTCAGATATGTCTAATTTCACTCTTGACCAGCAATCCCAGCAAATGGAAAGGGATTACTCACATGAGGAAAATTAAGCACATAGTCAAAGTAAACAGGAAAAATGAGCATAACATTTGGCTTTATAAAGCAAAAATCACCACAGCAAGGAATTTGCCATGCTGTAGGTACAGAAAGCTCCACTCTGACATTAAAACCAATGTACTGTTTCCAGCACAGCTTTAATTTATCCTGAAGTATTTGCAGACACAAGGAAACCCTTTCTCTTTTTTTTTTTTACCCAAACATTCCACCTTCAAGCTCTGTTTGCCAAAAATACAACATATCTGCAATTAGAGCTATTGGAATTGGGGTTTATTTTTATAACATGCCTAGAAACAGCCCAAGAACACGAAAAAAAAATGTATCTAGCCACCTTCTGCCCTTACACCAGAGCACAGAATACTATTTTAATGTTCATTGACTCTTAACATTATTTTAAATGGCAAATTGGAAACTTCAAATCCATATGAAATTAAGGCACTTACCTCAATGTTTTCCTCCCCAAAGTTCTCCACTGCAGCCTCTTCAGAATACCCACAAGCTCCATACTCCAAAGGAGTGAATACAGTAGTTGGAACATTCACATAGTCACACTGTGTGGCATTGAAAACAAAGCAAAACAGCACATAACATCAGCTCAAAAAATCAGCACACTGGGTAGAATTTCAGCAGGCTGAAACTTCAGCCTAATATCTAACCTAAATTTCCCCTTTCAGTTTGTATCCATTGCCCCTTGTCCTGCCACTGCAGCTCCTAACACAGAGTCCCTCTGCAGCTTCCCTGGAGCCCCTTCAGATCCTGGCAGGTGCTCTGAGGTCTCCACGCAACCTTCTCTTCTCTAGGCTGAACAGCTCTAAAAACAGGCTCTAAAAGAGAACAACCTTTTTCATCATGCCCTGTGGTTATGAAGGTGAGATAAGCACCCACACTGGTGCTGCTTGGATAACTGTTCTTTACAGACACTCTCCCTTCCTCCTGGTTTAACCATAAAGTGTAAATGAGTACCCATGTTCCTCCTATCTGAACTAGCATAGCTTGGCTGAAACCCACAGTTGCCCTAGTATGAAACATGAACACTGAATTGACTAATTCAACTTCTCAGGTATGAATATGTGTTGAATCCTGTGCTCAGTTCTGGGCCCCTCAGTTCAGGAGGGATATTGAGGTGCTGGAGCAGGTGCAGGGAAGAGCAAAGAGGCTGGTGAAAGGACTCGAGCACAAGTGCTATGAGGAGAGGCTGAGGGAGCTGGGGTTGTTCAGCCTGGAGAAGAGGAGGCTCAGGGGAGACCTTCTCACCCTCTACAACTCCCTGAAAGGAGGTTGGAGTCAGGTGGGGGTTGGTCTCTTCTCCCAGGCAACCAGCAGGAGGACAAGAGGGCACAGACTCAAGCTCTGCCAGGGGAGGTTTAGGTTGGATATTAGGAAGAGATTTTTTCTGGAGAGAATGATCAGGCATTGGAATGGGCTGCGCAGGGAGGTGGTGGATTCACCATCCCTGGAGGTTTTTAAGGTGACACTGGTTGTGGCACTTAGCACCATGATCTAGATGATCTTGGAGGTCTTTTCCAACCCAGCTGATTCTATGATTCTGTGACTTATTGCTACATTTGAACTTCCTTTGTGTCCATATTCAGTTATAATTAGGACTGTGTATTGCAGTGAAATCTTACGGGTAAGAAGCGAAAAAAATAGTGGAAATAACACTGAAAATGAAGAGCATCACAACTCCTATTACAGTCTATTTAGGGACTGTAGGTAGGTTTTGTAAACTGCCTGTAAATTGGAGTTGAAGCATTTAATGGTATGGGAATGATTGCTGACTTTTAGGGAAGCCAGAGGAGGAAAAACCAAGTTAAATGATCTCTGTTAATTTTATTATCATTATACTCTGAGAGAAAAAGAAACCCTCTTCATGGGAAAAAAAAAAAGAGACTACTGCTTAATCCATAAGGTATTCAGTTCATCCTATACAATTAGCAGAATACATCTGCAGTAATATCTTTGCCAGGGGAAAATTAAAACTACCATCAAACTAATCCTTAAAAGCCTACTGGGTTTTCCATAAACAAGCAGACTTGTACTCTGTATGGAAGCCAGAGCAATGACAGAGTTTTGTGGCAACTGCTTCTTACCTTAGTGCTTGCCCCAGCATAAAGCCTTCGAACTAGCAATCTCCCTGCCTGGATTGCCACTGGTGTGAGTTCCAGCTTGTCCTGCAGTATATCTCCAATAGCATAGATATATGGCACGTTTGTTTGCTCCTCATCGTTGACAGGGATTTTTCCTGTTCTGCAATTGGAATAAACAAGACCAAAGATGTAAGTGTTCTGCTGTAAAGACTGAAGGTGTAAAGAGCCTTGCAGGAGTTCGGTCCTTTAGCTTGAAGAGAAAGGCACATGTGAGAGAAGGTTTTACAAGAGATACATCTCACCTTGAGTGCTGTGGGCACCACAACTGAGGAAGCATATGAAGCTATTGGAAAGAACCCAAAGGACAGCCACAAAGATGGTGAAGGGCCTAGAGGGGCAGCCATACAAGGAATGGCTGAGGTCACTTAGCTCGCTCAGCCTGGACAAGAGGAGGCTGAGCTTCCTCGCAAGGGGAAGTGGAGGAGCAGGCACCAACCCGTTCACTCTGGTGACCAGAAGCAGGATCTGAGAGAATGGCATGAAGTTGTGTCACGGAAGGTTTAGGGTGGATATTAGAAAAAGGCTCTTCCCCCAGAGGTGTTTGGGCACTGAACAGCTCCCTAGGGCAATGGTTACCGCCACAAGCCTGACAGAACTCAAGAAGCATTTGAACAATGCTCTCAGACACAGAGTGTGACTCTTGAGGATGGTCTGCTCAGGGCCAGAAGTTGGACTCAATGACCCTTGTTGGTCCCTTGCAGCTCAGGTTATTCTGTGATTATATAATATGTGAAGTATGAAGGAAATAAGTCATACTCACAATTTTACAGTCTTGGGCAAGAATGTAAAGTAGCGCAAATTTGACCAAAACTACAGGAATTCACGTACTGGGTAAGGAGGTCACCTGTGAAGTTGTAATTCACCTCCTGAATCAGTTCTTCAGTGAGGCATAAATCTTTTCCTCAAACACCTTCTACCACCAGCTGAGCTGTTGACTGGCAACTTTCAGGAAAGACAAGAAGAGACATTCTCCCACTCCAGCTGCAGGACAAAAGATTTTGTCCACTACTGAAACTCCAGTCTGGTGGCTAAGGCAATTTCCATAAACTTATCCTTCAAGGCTTCTACACAGAGAAAGGTCAAGCTGTTACACACCCTGCCTAAGGGACAGCCAGCAAGCTTTTAGCTGGAAGTGTACTGAGCTAATGGAAGTTGTTAATTATTAATATTTCCTACTTCATCAATAAATGAGACAGTGCAGTAATCATGCAGGAAACACATGTAACAGGGAAAACCAATCAGACAGAAAACCACAGACACAGAAACAGTCACACACCTGAGGGA